CTTTTAACCCTATAGTTCACAGGTAGTCATCCTGATTAGGGAAAGGAAATTAACCCCTGGTGAATGAAATAATAAAATTTCATGGAAATGTACACCCTCGCCACTGAACAGAGGTACAGCAGGATGTAGTTTGCCCAACAAACAAGTCCCTGAATTGCTACTGAAAAGTTCTCTCCAAAAGCCCTCTTGCATGTGCATGCCTTGGTTGCACCATTCATCAGTTGACAACACGACAAGAAACTTACTGTCTAATACACTTATAGGGTAGATGGTAGCTGACTGAATTGTGCTGTCTGAGGAAATGAGAGATCAGAATTTTCTTTTCGGCTCATTGGAGACTTGTTAAAATATGCATTAAAGATTCTCCTGGGAGAATTCTGGGCCAAAAAATTAAAAATTCTGCATATTTTATTTGTCAAAATAATGCAATATAATCACACCAATTTCAATTATTTTGGTAATTCATTTAAATTACAGTACAATGGATGGGATGGATAGCATTGGAGGATATAGACAAATCCCCTTTGTCTAACAGTAATGTAGCTAGGTTTGATCCTTTATTTCTAGTTTTTAGTCAACAAATATATGCAGCCATTAGCTCAGTATTATATCATCGGCAACTGAAAAGCAAGTGAGGGCTGGGGTATCAAACTCACAATTTATAAAGCCATACTGTCATTTACAATAAGGCTCCTTTACACCACTCTGGCAATGTAAAGGAGCCTTAAAACTTTTACACTTGTTTTATGTTCCTGGGGGAATTCACTAAGGATGGGAACAACCAGGGCCGGCTCTGGCTTTTTTGCCGCCCCAAGCAAAAAAAAAAAAAAAAACCGCGGGGGGGGGGGGGGGGGGGGGGGGGGGCTCCTGGCGCTGCAGACGTGTCCCAGCTTGCGGGGGGAGGGGGAGGGAGCGGGGGAGAGAGAAAAGGGGGGTGGCCAGGGCTTCAGCGGGGTGCTCACAGACCTGGCACCAGCTGGGACAGACGGAGTGCGCAGCCCGCTCGCAGCAGGGTGCTCCCCTCCTCCGCACCGCTGCCCCCTACAGGGCGGCAGGAGCGGCAAACCAAAAAGGGCGGCCAGAATGCCGCCCCTTGGAATCTGCCCTCCCAAGCACGAGCTTGCTCGGCTGGTGCCTGGAGCCGGCCCTGGGAACAACTAAGCAGACAGGCTGCTACATTAAGCTCTGCCTGAGGGGACAGAGACTGCCTCCAAACACCTCAAAGCCCTGCCCCTCCACGCAATAGCGAGCCAGAGTCTCTCATTCGCTCTCTGACACACGCCCGCTCAGCCCCACCCCTTGGCAGTGATTGACATCTCCCCACACACGTACCCCCTACCCCCTCCGTGCTGATTTATGTCTCTGCTGGCTGCTCCAGGCAAGTAACTACTACTCCTCCAGGGACAAGTAACTACTTTTGTGGCTTTCCTTTGCGTCCCCTCAGAAATATTTTTCTGCAGGGAAGCAAAGAATTCTGCACCTGAGCAGTGGTGCAGAATTCCCCCAGGAGTAAAAAGAACTAGCTAGCTTTGGCCTTTTGAATCTCCTACTGTAATTTACTGTCCCAGGTATATATCGTCATAGCAGACAAGATGTATGTGGGAGGATGGGTTAGAGTGCTACAGGCTAGGATTTGGGAAACCCTGCTCTCCCACAGGTCCTGTGTGACACGGCCAAGTCTGTGTGCCTCAGTTTCTCATAAGTAAAGTGGGGGAAGTAGCACTTCCCTACTAAGGCCTGGTCTACACTAACCCCCCAAGTCGAAGTAAGGTACGCAACTTCAGCTACGTGAATAACGTAGCTGAAGTCGACATACCTTAGTTCGAACTTACCGCGGTTCAGACGCGGTCCACATGCGGCAGGCAGGCTCCCTGTTGACTCCGCGGTACTCCTCTCGCCGAGCTGGAGTACCGCAGTCGACGGCGAGCACTTCCTGGTTCGACTTATCGCGTCCAGACCAGACGCGATAAGTCAAACCCAGAACTTCGATCCCCAGCCGCCGAACTAGCGGCTGGGTGTAGACCAGCCCTTAGAGGGGTGTTGTGAGGATAAATCCATTAAAGATTGTGAAGTGTTCAGACACTCTGCCAATGGGGGGGCATATAAGTTCCTCAGATAGATGGTGTGATTGAGAGGGCTGCAGTAACTATTGAGTTCATAATTCACTCTTGCCAAACGGCATTTGTGAATCTCATCTTTTAAAAGATTAGTGAGATTTAAGCAGCTGAGCCTCTTGCTTCCTCAAAGTTCACAAAAGGGAAATGTTAATGTTTGTGTAGACTGCGACCTAGCAGAGACGTATAACTAGACCCACTGGATGAAAGAAGGGTGAACATTATAGCAGGTGTATAATGTAAGTATCCCGTTAATTGACATGGATGCCTCTCTCTCTCCATCACACTTGTTTGAGAGTTGATCAGACTGTGATGCCTAATGAACCACAGACATTTTGGTTGCAAGTAGCAGATCCTTTGACTACAGCTCTTTGTTAGGTTTATGCAAGACTGATGTGTATTACCTATGATGCTTACTGGTGCTAGATTTCAGTGTCTTTCTGTTTTCCTCAGCAAGCTGTCGTCTGTGCCTAGTGGGCACAGACATTTGCATACTATTACCTTGAATTTCACTGCAAGAAGAAAATTATGCCTGGCACTTCTAGGCCACGGTTTTGAAAGGGACATAACAAATGCCTCAGGTCACAGCATGTTACACAATGATCGGCATTCCAGATCAAAGACAGACTTTTTCTAAAATAGTGGTAGCGTTGGCCAGTTTACAGCTTTATTGTACGTCTGGTTGAGCAAACATCATAATAGGCTGAGGGGAACAACTGGGCAGCACACCAAGTTGGCCATAATAAGAGATGTGAGTTACACAAACATACACCATGAGGTATTTCTTGCAGAAAATTGCATTAAGAAGTATATTTGGGAGAAGTTCTGCTTTTCCTTTCAGAAGAGTGTGTCCTTGTGAATCCTCTAGTACCACTTCTCAACAAGAAGAATTTTATTATTTCCACTCTCTCTGAGGTACTTGAGTAGCATGAGAGGTTGAGGGGAAAGGTGAGCAAGACTAGGGGAAAGATAGGTCAGGAAGAAGAGGAGATGGGGGTCACTTGTGCAGGCAGAGGAGCTAGAGAAGGGGGGCAATGACAGGGGAAGAGGACAAGAGTTGAAGAGGGGAGTCAAAACCAACGAAAATCCATTGTCTCTTTGAAAAAGTCAGCAACAGCCTGCATGGGAAAGGTGGGGTAGGCAGGGTTGGAGGATGGAGAGGCTGGGATTGCTCGCATGCTCTAATGGTCTTAGTGCAGACCTGGGGACTGTTCTCAGCTCTGAAACTGGTTCCTTATGGGGACTTCAAGTTACATGATCTTTCTGCCTCAGTTGCGTCATCTGTAAAATGGTGATCATACTTGCCTACTTAAGAGGGCTCTTCTGAAGATTTATATTATCGGAGGACTTGTAGAGCGCTGTGGCTATGAAAGTAATATGTAGTATTCTGATTTCAGAACAGTTCTTCCGCATAAGAAATTACTCTTCAACGTAGCGATCTAATTGGCAAAGACGATTTTAAAATGCTATGGTACAATGTAACAATACACAGTTAAAAGTTGTTTATGCACATTAGGCAATAGACAAAAGTGATATCTGGGTTAATTATTAAATTCCTCCTTTACCTCAGCTAGAAAATTTTGGGGGATAAGATAGGGAAATTCAGGTAAACAATCAATCTCTGAGGCAGGACAGGGAACATACCAGACATCATGCTGATGTCACACACTAGCGCGTAGCATTATGAGAAAGAGTTCCTTTGTTCGTCACTCCACCCTCTTAAACTGTGGTTCCTCAGATGATGCAAGGTCTGACTAATGCATTCTTGGGAGATATGCTGACCATTTTCATAAGATGTATTAAGTGGCTTTGCCTCGATCATATTTCTGTAATTGGCTTTGTGCTATGCTTCATTAAACAGCTTTAGCTAAGCAGTCCATTTGCAGAGTTTCAGCAGGGCAAAGGTTTGGGCTTGAAACCTTTAAGACCACTAATTTTATAACTTATCAGAGCATCCAGTAGTAGTGCCCACACTAACTCCAGACATCTACACTCTTCAGTCAACAAGACTGCTTCACATTTGAAATGAGGTTCAGACTGTTTCCCCCCCAACAGTCCATTGTCCCATTTTTGTGATGGAAACCCTTTAGGAAACAGCTATTCAGATGCTTGTTTATGGCCCATCCTGCCACAACCTGCCTGAAGGAGTGATCTGGGGAAGAGTGTTAGATAGGATTCTCCTGGCCATATGGTTTAGCAATACTCTTTGGTAGCCAAGCCATAGAACTTCTACTAGGTTGACTCTTTAGGAGGTAGTTGTTACTCTGCTGTGTCATTCAGACAGATACAACAACCATGACTCATCAAATGGGCAGGATGGTAAAGGAAAAGGATTAGAGAAGAATAGGATTGCAAGAATCTTCCTGTTTACCAGTGGCTTTAAAAAAAACCCCAACAAACTCAAACCTCAGCAACATTATGTTTACTGGCAGTGATGTAGCTTGGCTCTGTAGCTTAAGACTTCTGGCCAAATTGACTCCGGTGCAAGCATATTTAGTTTAGTGGAGTTACACTAGGGATAAATCTGGCCTCTCAAGCCTGAATACTTGCACTGTGTTACTGAGTATGTATGGTAAGCCTTGAGAACAATATGCTGTGTTTCTGGCCATCAGCCACACCAGGAAGGTCATTTTCTTCTTGGCAATTAGTGAAGTGGTGGCATCGCAAAAGGAAGTGAATAAACATATTCTATCCTGCTTAGGTGCCCAGTTCTCATCACAGATTTCCTCTGGATGTACTGTGGGGCCCCAGAGAGAGCTTGATTGCTACATGCAGTGATTTCATTCCGGTTTATTTTGCTGGGATATTGAAAGAACTTTGGCAAAAAAAAAATCTTAGTTTTCCTCATACAATAAATGTGTCTCTCTCTTTTTTTCCTCTTCCTAGGGAGAAAAATGCCAGCCTCTTTAAGAAAACTACAGCAAATGGCTATTTATCTGGGGCTGTTAAGTGGTGGGGGATGTGCTGTGATGTATTATCTTATGCAAAGTAAGTCCTGTTGCTATTAGCAACCTTATTTCTGCCCTCTCCACATCATTCCCCTTTGTACAGTTGACAAATAAGAATAGTTCAGATTCTGATAAACATGGATTGGAGGGAAGAGCAGCAGAGCTTAAAGATTTTATTAATCACACCTGCCAATGCAATGTCCCTTATTTTGTAGGCTAGGCTTTATTTAATTCCAATACTAGTTCTCTCTGAAGCATGGTTACTTTAGTCTCAAAAGGATTTATTTAAAAACAGATGAAGGTTTCTATTCTCAATTAGATTTTAAAAATGGTTGTTGTTGGGAAATGCGGGGGAAGGGGCAGGGGAACACCACTTAAATAGGGAAATGTGAACCATTAGAATTCTGGTCAGTTTGTAATACATCCACTTTATGGTGCTGTTCCCTCAAAATGGATCTTGTGAGGTGCTGAGCATCAACGTCTATTGAAGACAGTCAACAGCAGTTAAGAGTGCTCAGCATGTTGCAGGATTGGAGCCTTAGAAGGAAGCCTAGAGAGATGGACACTGTCAATTAGATGACAGACAGATCTACTTGCTAGATTTAATTGGCTGGGAATTATTAATGTTATTAGTTCAAGCAATTGATTTTCTTTTTTAGTGACTTCCAGACATTTAATAGTCCTGAAGCAACAGGCTTTGTTTCCATTTATTAGAATGCTCTAGTCCTCGGGGTCTCATGCCTTTCCCTTGTACAATAGAACCTCAGAGTTCTGAACACCTCAGAATTGGAGGTTGTTTGTAACTCTGAAACGTTTGTAACTCTGAACAAAAGGTTATGGTTGTTCTTTCAAAAGTTTACAACTGAACATTGACTTAATACAGCTTTGAAACTTTACTGTGCAGAAGAAAAATGCTGCTTTTAAACAATCTTAATTTAAATGAAACAAGCACAGAAACAGTTTCCTTACCTTGTGAGTTTTTTTAAAACTTTCCCTTTTTTATAATAGTTTACATTTAACACAATACTGTACTGTATTTGCCTTTTTTGGTCTCTGCTGCTACCTGATTGTGCACTTCCAGTTCCAAATAAGGTGTGTAGTTGACTGGTCCGCTCGTAATTCTGAGGTTCTACTGTAGTTACTATCAGTTTATATTGCTTTTTGCCTAGCCTTGTACTTGAGGACATTGCAGGAAGGGTGGCCAAACTCCTTTCTGAAGCCCTCAGTAGTTGTGAAACCTTCCCTTCATTTGACATATTTTAATAACAAATTGGACAACATTGGAAAGCCAACTTGTATTTCAGACAACCATGCACTTGAGTTCTGAATTGCAGCTCAGGCAGACTGATAAGCCTGACATGTTTTAAAATAGAGAGGCTGGATTTAACAGGGATATTAGCATTTTCTCTTAACATCCCTTGACATAGATTAACTTTCTCCTTTCCCAAATCATTTAGCTAACAATCCACTTAGTTTATGTGTCTATTGATCATCATTAAAACCATTGTCTGGTGAAATGTTCAAGTGAAATATGCATAGCCTATTAAGGACCATTGCTTTGGTGTGATGTTGATAGCCACATAATGTTTTTGATATTTCGATTACAGGCCAATTGGGCTTTTAATCACTAAAGTACAGCCTTTAATGAGAGTTACCCTCTTTGTTAGCATCAAACAGAAACAGAAGCTACTATTTGACTTGCAAGCTAAAACAGTTTCATATCTCTAACCTTAAAGGCTTGTTAACCCAGGAGAACTAAGCACCAGTGCCAATCATGTGGATTCAATGAAGTTCTGGTTCCCCTTCCTCATCTTCATGTGTACAGCCAAGATGACTGAAGCGCAAGGAAGTCCTGGGACTTCCTCCATGTTGTACATTGAATAGCTGAGTAGCATTTGAATCTAGGATCCCCTGACTTCTCCCTTTGCTGTACCCAGTGGTTTACATCACTTCCTTATATATCTGCATATAACTGTTCCTGTTCTGGACCTTTTCTACAAAGATTCTCTTTGCTTTGTCAGAGCCCCGAAGACATTGCCAGGGAGAAAACAACCGAACCAGGCTTCCACTGCTCCCACCATTTAAGTTTTGTGTCATGCTGAAATAGTTTTAGACACAATAATCGAGAAGTTTCTTGTCACTACAAACCACTGAGCTCCAATTTCAGGCTCTCTGGGAGGAGATAAACAGTAGTCCTTATAGCCAACTGTTGTGCCCTTTAGAAACCCCTGCTCTGGGTTCATGCTATAGATATCTAAGTTCACACACATTTAGGCATTTATGTTAATACTTCAGGCAAGATAATCATAAGATACCACTGTCTACTGTGCACAGCTGAGAAGCAGGGTGAAGGGGGACTGGCTGCAGCTTCCCGATTCAGTCTGCTTCTATGCTGGGGATGGCCCCTAAGTATTGAAAGCAGCCTGGCTGACTGCTATCCATGGCCCTCAGAGGCTGTCCTCCCTCAGAAAATGGCCAGCTGCAGCCCTCATTAGTGGCTATGGGAGAACTTGGGCTAGAAACCAGCAAAGCTGCTTCTGTCAACTGGGGACAGCCTCCAACCCCGTTGCACTCCCAGAGCAATATAAAGAGGTGGACAAACAAAAGATTTGGGTCCTCTGTTTTAAATCTAAGGTGGGGACTAGATATTCAGGGTGGGATTTTCAAAAGTATTCGGTGTTAGCCTAACCCTAACCCTCTTCTCATTAAAGTCAGTGGGAATGAAGCTAGGCCAGTGCTGAGAACATCTGAAAATCCCACTCTCAGCATGCACAGCTTGAAAAGTTTGCTTCAAGATTTTTCTAACACTAGAAGGCCCACTAGTTCCCTCCTCCTCCACCCCTCCACACCCCGACAACTCTATTTTATACATTGGTCACCATTGGAAAGAATATTTTCCAGTTATCACCTCAGCTGCCACACTATTTCACTGTATTTCCTTGCTGTGATACTTCACATACTGTGATGTAGTAACTGGGAGCACATTGACTTTGATGGTGACAACTGTATATGTTTCATGATACCCTTTTAAAATTAATGTTTCCTCCACTCGTGTTATAGGATTAAGCAAGGTTTAAGCAAAAGTCCCTAAAGCTATAACACAAGGTTCTGTAGTAGCAGCTGCTACTGCCTTCCTAGAGCAATGTAAGAGAAGTTCTCTCAGTTCCTACATGTTTTCCAGAATTCCCTTTTAAAGTTTAGAATCCATTCAGAATGTTGTTGAATGCACCTCCTACTGCTCTACAAGTGTCAGAAAAGCATGGAAACTTGCCCATAATGCCACTCTTACATGTACAGGACATTTGAAAGGTCTTACATCCGGGGCCTATTTCACCTAAATTTGCTACAGAACAACACTTTCCTTCTGCTGCAACGTTTCTGATTTAGGGGGTTGGGATCATCTTTAGCCAGTAGTTGTCCATCTAGTTGTTTTCCCCACATTTAGAATTGTTTGCGGTCACCACTGAAACGGGTGGTAGTGCAGACTTGGGATTCTCTTTTTGGCAATCCACAAATGTAAAAGTCTCAGATTTCGGAATCATGTCTGGTATCTCATGGCTGGTTATTACTATTTATAGGGTTGAATTCTTTTTCTGGAGGGTTTTCTGTGTGCATATTTTATTATATTATATATATAAAAAAATGGGGGGTGCGGGGCGGGAGAATGTCTTTTCTTTTATTTGCAGTGTTGTTATAGCCGTGTTGGTCTGATATGGGAGAGACGAGGTGGGTGAGGTAATAACTTTCATTAGATCAACTTCTGTTGGTGAAAGACGAGCTTTCGAGCTACACAGAGTTCTTCAAGTTATAGCTCAAAAGCTCATGTCTTTCACCAACAGAAGTTGGTTAAAAAAAAAATAGTATCTTAGGTCTCCCTTTTATTTGTTTTTTTCAACCCCATATTGACTTCCTTCCACAATGGTCTGTTTCTTTGATCTAGAAAATTTTGCCAGGACACAGTATTATCAGCTGGCTATTGAGCAGCTTAAGAATGACCCTGTAGCCTTGGAGGCACTGGGGGCCCCCCCTCTTAAAGTTCACAACATCAGACTGACAGACAAGAGTAATCGCGTTGACATGGCCGGAGCACAGGTAAGAGCAGTGAGCCTGCCAATGAAACATGACTCTGAAAGATGGATTTTTAAGTGTATAGTAATGATGGGGAGGAGAGTGAGGAGGAGATTTTTCAAAGGCGACTAAGTGATTTAGGCGCACAGGCCCCATAGATGAGTGTTCATTGCCCACTTAGGGTGAAACTTTCAAAGGCATCTAAGTCTCTTGATTTGAAATATGGCAGAGGAGTGAATAGCAAGAATTACTCCTCCATGTTGTGCTAATTAGTTTCATACAGGAAAGAAATGGTGTGTGCACCCACTGATGCTTCTTTATGCTGTATAAAAGGTTCACCATCCCCACCCAAAAAGATTTTTTTCTGCTTGTTTTTTATTTTTACATAAGGCCTTGCCTATCTTGGGGTTTTTAGCTACTGGAATAGCTATGCCACTAAAAAAAGCCAGAGGATACAATTTTCAAAAGCAGTTGCGTCACTTAGGCATCTAAGACCAATTGACTTTCAATGTAGCTTATGTACATAAGTCACTGAGGGTGCTTTTGAAAAGGTTAGTCCTGGTGTGGATGTGTTGCACAACTGTAAAGTGTGACTAGCACCAGCACAGCTCACACTAGTTTGAAGCAGAGTGAAGCCAGACTGATAAAGGTCACTTTTTATGCTGTGTCTGCACTAGGGCTTTGTATCAGTGGAGATCAGTGGCTCTCAACCTTTTCAAACCATTGTACCCCTTTCAGGAGTCCAATTTGTCCTGCGTACCTCCACGTTTCTCCTGACTTAAAAACTACTTGCTTACAAAATCAGATATAAAAATACAAAAGTGTCACAGTACACAATTACTGAAAAGTTGCTTACTGTCTCATTTTTACCATATAATTATAAAATAAATCAATTGGAATATAAATATTGTACTTACATTTCAGTGTGTAGGATATAGAACAGTATAAACAAGTCATTGTCTGTATGAAATTTTAGTTTGTACTGACTTCACTAGTGCTTTTTATGCAGTCGGTTGTAAAACTAGGCAAATCTCTAAATGAGCTCATGTACCCCCTGGAAGACCTCCACATACCCCCAGGGGTACATGTACCCCTGGTTGAGAACCACTGGTGTAGATAGCCAGTGGCTTTTTAAAAACAAAACGAAGGTCAAGGGTATTTAGTCTGGTCTTCCCTGCTTTTGCTAGAGGTTTCAGATGCATCCGGAGAGTTTTCAAAGCCATTAATGAAAGGAGCACAGGGTTTTGAATCTTTGACAAATATCTTCTTCCAGCTGGCTGTAGGGCATTTGAGTTAAAGGTGTTAACCAAGAAAATAAAAAGCAGCAAGTTTTAAACAGACTGAATAAAATTCACTTTCCCTTTCAGTTAAATCAGGATCCAGTTGCATGATATCTGTAGTGTTATGAATTTCCTAGTTCTCCAGTTGCCCTTAGAGTCTTCCAGGCAAGAGCTGAATTTCCAATATAAAAAGCATAGACAAAAAATGTCAAGCTTCCTTTATATAGATCAGAAGTGGGGATCCACCAACCTCCAATTCATTTTTTCCTTTGTAAGTCACCTTTAAGAATGTTACAAAGATTGAAATGTCTCAGGATCAAGTCACATTTAATTCCTCTGACCAGCCAACTGCTTTCTTATCCACCATGTCACTCAGTGCCCTCTATGATGAGGAGCATTATTTCATCAGAGATATGAAACCAGTGAATGATCCTTCATCAGCCAGAGTGGGTTGCTACAGCAAGGCCCAGGGGCTATTGTACCACCTCCAGAGCACGCCCAACTCCTGCCAGCTAGACCTGCTTGAGAAGGCTTGGTGATGTCATTTTTGATGGTCTATCAAGAATAGACAAAGCATATTTATTTTCTTCAGCCATGCTGAATGTTTTAGCAGAAACGCAATACTGCAGCTGTAGCCTAATTTATTAAGTTACAGTATTTTAATGGTAGAATTTTCAAAGCTGCTGCAGGATTTTACTATCCAATTCCCATTAATTTAATGAAGGGTAGCTTTGACTATCACAGCCTTCGTGCCTGTATTTGTTATAATAAACTCTTGTCATCCCTGGATCTCCTAGCGCTTTGCAAAGAAAGGGTGTTAGTTCAAATATTTCAGAGAGTAAGTGACTTTCTTTATATGGCTGCAGTCATAACATAGAACATTCTTTTAACACCGATTTGTGTATGACAAAATTGATACGCTCACACCCCATTAAAAAAGTTTAATGAAACTCTCTAAAGTGCTGAAAAGCTGAAGTATCCATGTTAAAATTGTGGGAGTGATTCAGTTTTATCTTATTGACTAAGGAAGGAATAAAACATTCATTTCACTAACATCAGCCATTGAAAGTGTTCAACTAACTTTTATATATCTGCAGTTAAAGATACCAGTATCTGGAACAAAATCAGCTGGATATCTCCATACCAATTCAGTAAGAGACCTCTCCTTTAACTGGTGAGTATGAATAAAAGGCTACTCTGTGGAGTGTTCAGGGTAGGAGGAGAATCAGGGGCAACAGGGCCAGATTTTTGATTTATAGTCATCAAAATGGCTGAGATTATAGAAATAAGAAATCTGCCTTTGAAGAGCTTATGAAATATTGTGTTCACATGCTGTCATTATGGAAGTGACAATATCTATTAACTAATTTACATTTCTTATCCACAGAATACAAAAGGATGAGGACATTAGACTGAGAACTTTGTGCTGAAAACGGTCCTCTATTAACTGTAACCCAGTATACTGGAGTGCATAATAGGCCCACTGAGTCTAATCTACCCCCCTTTTCCTCCCCCTTCACACACAAAAAAAATGCTAAGATAGTTGGGCACTAGGTTTAACACTGATTGTCCTTAGTTATTTTAACAGGCCTGTGATATCTTCTACTGTTCTCAGACCACAGCAATGCCATGATGCGATGGGTATGTCTACACTGCAGCTGGGAGTGAGCCTTCCACCACTGGTAAACAGACTTGTGCTAGTGGAGCTCAAGTTAGTGCGCTAAAAACAGCCCTGTGGGCACTGCGGCTCTTGTGGCTCGACACCTGAGTTCAGACCCAGAGGGTCAAGTGGGGTTGAGAGCCAGAGCTGCCACCTGAGTGGCAATGTCCACTGTGCTAGTTTTAGCCTGGTAGCTTGAGCCCCGCTACCAGGAGTATGTTTAGCAGGGTTGGGAGGCTCCATCCCAGGGGCAGCACAGACGTACCCAGTGAGGTGAGCTAAGGATTGTGTCATTTTCTTCAAGTACCTGAGTAATATGGTCTCTCTTTGTTCAAAGAAAGGCTGTATTGGGGTGAAATGGAAATTTCTTTGTACTCCAAGATACTAATCTGTGTTATGGATGTGGGGCTTTCAGTATTAAACCCAGACCCCCTCTTTCTCAAGGCCAAACTGATTTCCAGAACTGAGAGAATAATTAGGAACCAATAATTTATTCAGCAAGTTTGATCTCTATTGCGGATTGAAGAATTTCTGAACAATCTACAGTTTCCACATTTATTTGTTCTTGAAAGTCGGTACAAAACGTTTGTTAGTTCAGTTTTCCCTGTGTCTTGTGGTTAGATCTCCAAAACCAAAGCAGTTTTGCTTAGTTGCACCTAGCACTATGGGATTGTCTCTGTTACATAATTAGATAAGCCTTACCAAGAGTAGTTGAAAATTCTTGTGGAAACCAAATTTAAAATTCAGTGGTTAGGGTACTAGCCTAGCACTTGGGAGACCTGGGCTTAAATCTGTGCTCTGCCACGACCTACAGGTGACCTTGGGTAGGTCACTTAGTCCCTGTGTGCCTCAGTTCCCCATCTGTAAAAAGGAGATAATAGTACCTGCGTATCAGATACTAGGTGAATGGGGCCATATAAGTACGTAAGGGCTTATCTAGACAGTTAGTGCGCAGCAAGCTGGGGTGTAAATCTACAGCGCACTAACTGTCCACGTGGACCCTGATTCTGCACTTTGATCTGGGGAACTTTTAGTGCGCAGTAGCAGAGTCCACACAGACAGCGTGTGGCATGCTGCTGTAACAGACATTTACACTCCAGTCTGCCGTACACTCACTGTTCGTCTTGACAAGTCCTAAGATAAATTTCAAATTCACTCTCCAAACATACCCCAGTGCAAACTTAAAATATATTTCCCAGAAACATTCATGCCAGTAAAACTTCATCACACAAGTATTTGGCCACATTTGTGCCAAGCAAATGGTAGCAATATAGTTGGTTCCTGACAGTTCCATTTTGTAATAGATGAGACATGAATGTGTCCTTGAACCAGATCACAGTGATTCAAACACAGGTGCTCCATAAAACAGAACAGCATAAGCCATTGTTGGGAATAGCTATATTATACTTGAGTTATCTGACATGGTTCTTGATAATGGGCAGACAGTCTAGAATCTAGAAAGAGAAACAGCAATGACAAGACACTGAAGGTCAAATTTTCAAAAGTGACTTAGATTCCTAAGTCCTATTTTAAAAAATGACAGACACATAAGAGCTTAGATCACTTTTAAAGAAGAGACTTAGGCCCCAGTGTCTAAAGTCACTTTTGAAAATAGGAGTATTTGAAAATTAGACCTGGAGTGACCAGACTATAGATTCATCATACAAAGGTGCAGCAACCTAATTGTATTACGGTATGTGTGGGATTTTCAAAAGTGATCAGCATTGGCCTGACACTACTCCTCTCACTTAAGTTAATGGCTACTGCTGACTGGAGCTGCTCAGGAACTTTGACAGAATGTTTTTCAGAAAATGTTGATGGATTGAAACCAAAACCGTTTGCAGAAATGTTATCTGTTTACCTAATTTACTGTTGTTCTAGTTTTCATCAGAAAGGTTTCTCAGCCCTAGGATGGAATTTCTGATAAAACACAGAGAGAGTGAACAATCCCCCATAGCCAGCGGCCCAATGGTTAGGGCACTTGAACCTGGGTCTCCCACATCCACGCAAGTCCCTGCTGCCTGATTCATCCCAGATGAGTGCTCTAACCTCCTGGCTATTCTGGGTTTTTTTCTTTCTGTCAAAATTTTGAAAGGTCTTTTTGTTCTGTTCTGCATCGGAATGGAAACAAATTCTGAAACTTCACACGTTTTTCACAAAATGGAGTTCTTGTTTTCTGGACCGCCCTGCTACTTCAATGGGCACAGTTAGGCCAATGGAGGCATGAGGGTCTGCTCGGTGCAGGCCCATGGACATGGCTTTGCATTCTCCAGTCGAGAGCACACAGGTGGGTGTGCTTCCTACAGTGGAGCACCCTTAGGGACGTATACTTGAAGGAGAAAAAGTTATTCGTGGCTGGCAGATTAACACTGATAGTCCTCTCAGAAAGTGGGCTTGGAGCAGAACTTTGAAGAGCAGAGGGTGCACCTTTGCGTATCCCAGAAGTACAGCTTTCTCTCTCTAAATGGAGTCATTTTATTCTCTTTGCATACTTGCCTCCTCCTATGGGCTTCTATACTTGTATCAACAATCACATTCTGTAACAATGTGGTGTCAAAGCCTCCCTAACTAGGATAATTCTTTAGCAATGTGATCTAGATCCAATACCAGAGATTAGCGAAGGACTACCTAATTGCAGTCTTGATAGGCAGAAGTGGCTGATTGTAAAAGGAAAAAGACATGTTATTTAAAAAATTTTTAAAAAAAGCACACCCCAATCACCCTGTCAGGATTTTATTGGTGTTGCAGAACCATGAAATGTAGTTTCTTGGTCCGTTAAGCCATCAAGGAAAGTGTCTTTTAGAGGTTTGCATCTGCAAACCTTTTTAAAGCCCATTTAATTACACTAAATGATTTGGTTCTTGCTGCCTAGTGTTTTTATACTTGACATCACCACAGTATGAAATTGGTCAATTAAAGTCAAATGTTCTTTTGGTTTGTATCAGCTGGCGTCTCCGAGATGTCACCTTGAAACTCAGGGATGGTCAGAGTATTCCAGTGTACCATTCGTGTGTGGAGAGCACCAACACACAGGAGGGATGAAAAAGAAAGACAGCTGCTTTGCACATCCTGTCACTTGAGGATCTATTGATTGGTTGCATATTACTGTGTACATTCAGTATTGTCACAAATGGACAATTTCAGTTAAGTGGACAATCTTACAGTCCAATTATTTCTCTAGCACTGAGCTCAGTGTTGGTATTGTTAATTTCATTCTTTTTTATTTGTGTGTATGGCAGAAACCCAAAATAAAGATTTTACAGTACTATTACTGTTCCAGAGTATCACATTGTTATATCTTGTATGTGCTGCTATGATTTTTTTTCTTGCCGGTAAATTGCATTTCTTTATGATTATGAACCTCAAATCTGGACAGCTGATTTGCTTTCTAAGTCTAGATGACTAGTCAAATTTTCAGATAAACCAAATAATAGGTGGTTTTCCCTTTTTAGGTGACGTAAGTCAGTGGCCAAACCTTCACTGAACTATCTTTACAAGGAAAGACAACGAGACCTAGGTTGGAGAGAGAAATCACTATTATATGATTTACTAAAAATGAAATATGACTTGTAATTTAAAAAAATATATTTGCACTCCTATAGCTCATTTAGGAAATAAGGCAGACTATAGGCAAAATATATGTCTATCAGTGTTTCAAAAACCACCATCAAAGTAGACCGAGAAATACCAGAAGTCAGTCAGTCATTTTACTTATCTGGGGAGCGAGACGTGCAGTGATAGTGACACCATGCTAGATGCCAAGCGACTAATATCAAACGCAGCAAACAACTTCCAAATCTTTTCAAGTTCATGAAAAGGTAGCATGATCAGCACCGATACAAAAATAAAATAAAATTAAAAAAAAATTGTATTTTTTTTTAAAACACTGGCATCATGTCTGTCCTACTCTATGGAGCAGAGACATGGAAATCTACAACAGCAATTGATGAGAAGTTCAACTTATTCCAAAGTAAATGCCTACAGAAGATGTTCAGAATCTATTAGAGTTTATTACAACATCAGATATTCTAAGCAGAATACACCAACTTAAAACATCAAATGTGGCAAAAGGATGGACATATTTAGGATATGCTTTAAGGATGCCATCAGCTTGACTTCCACATGAAGTGATAACATGGTTACCAACTGGCAAGAGAGGTAACCTAGAGAAACATGATGTAGAACAGTAGAGAAAGAAGCTAAATTCATCAGCATGACACTCAGAAGCCTGAACAGACCAGCACAAGACCAAGATAAATGGCAAAAACTGATGGATATCCTCTGCACCTCAGGGAAAAGATAGGCACTTCTGAGACACGCAGTAGGACTAGTGATGATCGTGAATGAGTCAAAACAATCCCTCCTAGTCTAAACTCTGAAGAACTGTGTGAGAATTTAAATATTGCCATCCAAAGGTCATATTGCAATTTTGAAACAGTTGAGCCAGCCTCTCTTTCTGTCAGGTGACCCTTTCATAGCCACAGATACGAAGAGTACTGAAGTCTTCTTAGAATAAAATGGTTTAGGAAACCAAATTCCAGTCTGAACCCCATTCTACACTGTTCCTCTCTATTTCCATGTATAACTTCATGTTATACCCTGTACTTATACACAGAACAGTTCCACTCATTTCTATCACCATTCTCTGCTCATTCATACTGGAATTTTCAAGAGAAGCCTTAGGAAGTTAAATCACTGAGAGTTGGTCAACTAACTTCGGTAGGCCCCTTTGAAAATCCCAGGCTTAAGTACTTTACATCTTCACTGTGATCATCCCATTGCCTTTCAATTCCCTTTTTAAAGAAGGTGACGAGATGTATACTATGTTCCAGCTGCAGCTTCGCAAGGGTCTCAGGAGAGCCATTATTTGTTCTTGGATCAGAACAGGTTAACACCACGGTACCTGGGTTCCACCCTCAGTTATCCAGGACCCTGGAGGAAGGGCTCTCACACAGCTTTTGAGGACAAACTAGGAATTTTAACCATCTTAGTTTGTTTTATGGAATCAGGATTCCTAGAAACAAAGTTCCCTCTATTTCCCTGTAAGATTCTGGTAATGCTTCCCTTTAATTTTAATGGTGTCTCTTCATCTTCTCTGATATGTTCATCTATGTTCATTTAAGGGCTCTCAATAGTCCATGCCTTATGTATTATTCCTTCACACACCCTATTTCCTCTAAATCTTTTTTTTAAAAGCCAGGGAATGGAGATTGCCTTGGAGACACTATAAGTACTGGCAAGTAACTGTAGTATAACAATTGGGAGCAAACTAGACTGTGTGTCAATTACATTTAAAAGCCCTACTTTTGGTCTTTCCCCCATTACAAATCTATTAGTATACATAAACTTGCATACCTGCTGATCTTGAAAGAGGTAGAGTAGGGTCATAGCAGTACAGTAGCTTCCTCTCCCCTGCATGTACTGGGGAAAAAAGGAACCTGACTTCTTACCCAATCAGTTAATTTCTACATATGGTTTCCATTAGGCACAGCCCATCCCACAGCTGCTAATTTAAAGAGGGACACAGGTGCATTAGGAGGAAGCCAAAAGAACTGGGGAAAGACTTGAAACAGCTAACAGTTGCTAAAAGACAAGAGAACCTCAGTAAAGGCTCCTGCATGACACCCCCTCCTTTCTTCTTTCCTTACAATGAAGTAAGAGAATCTGAAGCAGAAATCCTAGGTTTGCTACTTCATTTTGTTAAATAATTCATGCATCGTAACTATATTGTGTTAGCAATTGCTAAACAAACCTAATCCAGTCCTTGGCCACTAACTAGTTTTTAATTCTAAAACAATCTTTTAACAGTGCATTTAGAAATGACAGAATCACTAGTCTGGTAAATAAAATCCACTCTTTGTCACCCATACAGTTCAGAAGTTAAAACGCCTCATCTTGCAAAATACTGGATTCCCTTTCCCATCAGTTCTACTAAGATGGGTTTATTCTTTAGGGGGGTTTGCCTCATTCCTGTGTAGGAACTTACTAACTTCCATAGTAGAGAATTTATAACCCTTGCAGAAGGGAGGTAGCAAGACAAACAGCCTGACAATCAAGGCAAGATTATCTTTATTTAGAAGCAATTGTATTAATATTTATTGTCTCTTTGTAAATATAATTTGCTGGGATGATAAAATATTTATATCCATATTTGTTTGCTTAACTAGGACCTGGATGATTGCCTAGTTAATATTTGCAATGTTGCTGTAGCCATGTTGGCCCCAGGATATAAGAAATTAGATGGGTGAAGTACTATCTTTTATTGGACCAACTTCTGTTGGTGACAGAGACAAGCTTTTGAGCTAACAGAGCTCTTCAGGTCTGGGAAAGATAATCAGCTTGTCATAGCTAAATACAAGGTGGGACAGATTGTTAAGCCTAAGGAATAGCTCCTTGCAAGAGACCATTTAAGATGAAGTGGGCAATTAATGTCTGCAGTCATAGGACAAAGGTGGGTTAGTGAGTTACAGTGTTGTAATGACTTAATGTCTATACGGTACTTTGATCACATATAGCACCATATAAATGCTAAGTAGTATAACATGGATGCCTTTTCAGGCCCACATCTCTAGAAGAGGAAGGGCATTCTTGTAGCTAAGGGTATGTCTTTAGCAATCGATTTATCCAGGATCGATATATCGCGTCTTGTTAAGACGTGATATATCGATCCCCGAACACGCTCACCGTCGACTCCGGAACTCCACCCGAGCAAGCGGCGGTAGCGCAGTCGACGGGGGAGCCGCGGCCGTCGATCCCATGCCGTGTGGACCCCAGGTAATTCGATCCAAGATACTTCGACTTCAGCTATGCTATTCGCTACAGCGTAGCTGAAGCTGCGTATCTTGGATCGATCCCCCCCCCCCCCCCCCAGTGTAGACCAGCCCTAAGACATGCGACTGAGATGCAGGAGATGTGTGTTCAATTCCCAACTTTGCCACAGACTTCCTGTGTGATATGGGGCAAGTCACTTAATTTCTGACTTAGTTCCCTATGTGTTAAATGGGGCTGATCCTACTGTTTTCCACCCTTTGTCTCTTGGCTCTTTATCTTGTATGCTCTTCAATGCAAGGACTGCCTCTTACTATTTGTACAATGAGGTGCCAGTCACAGGTTGGGTCTAAAGGCACTATGTTAATATCACTAGTAAGCTAGTTATGGCTCTTCTGTTCCGCATAGCCTCCTCAAACTGCCATCACCAGTTGGGATCCAATGCTGCACTGCTTTGTACCTTTTCTATAGTCATTTTCCCCTGTGCAAAGTGGCTCTGGCAACATGTTTACACCCACTTTACACAGCGCAGTTGCCAACTTTCACGCGGTAAATAAGCACCCCGACTTTCACAATAAGCCAAAAATCAAACTAATCCCATTTCAAAACAAGGCCTAAACAAGCCAATATCTAAGAACCCCAACACTCTATGTGACTAGATCCCCCCGTGTGTAGTAGACCTGCTGTGCACCCCTTGCCTCTACTTGCCCCCGCTTTCCCCTGCTTGCCGGGAGCTGATCGAAAAAAAGAAGCAACAAGCTACGAGCGGCAAGCCAAAAACTGGCCAACAAGCAACTCACAAGCCAATTAAACCAAAAACCAGCCCAATTTCTGCATTTTTTTCGTGGGTTTGGCATGTCTGCTACACAGGGTGTCAGACAGGAGAGAATCAGGCTGTTTTTCAAAATCTTAATTCAGCTTCTTTATAAATCTGTCAGCAAACTGCTTTTTTAGCTATTTAATATATTATGAGTGAAAAGAATCAGCTACTTTGTTTAAATATCAAAGCAGTTGTTTTACAAAGGCCATGGCAGTTGGTCCACCGAGTATGCCAATTCAGTTTCACCTGGAGATTTGCCAGACAGAAAAAAACCACTAAGTAGATGTCCCAGCAGTTCAGGAGGGTTTCTTACATTGTGCCAGCACTAGCTCACATAGCAGACAGGTGCTCCTCCTAAGGAACTACTCAACCTACTTGTCAGGAAGACCGCAACAAAATAATCCACACAAGAAAAACTTTTGCAACCACTTCTGTTCATATCATGAAAGAGTGAACACGCAGTATCTTTGGGAACTATTGTACTAATATTATGGATTGTTGGGGGCTAGGCATTGTATTCTAATTCTACTCCATGGGGGAGAGTTACCACAGCTCCTCTAGAACTAAATATAGTGGATAATTACTGGGATCCCTGGCATCATAATCAGCTCCTGGTTCAGGCAGGAACCATAGGCCCAAGAAGACAAAGGGCTTTTGGTATAAAAGGCTGAGTTTAACCT